CTGCGCCTGGACAAGCCAGCAGTCCTTCGGGAGTTCCGCGCCTCCACCGTCTCGGCAGACACGGTGGAGTGGCGTGTTTAACGACCGCTTCGCCCCCTGGAGCCCGGCAGGCGCTCCTGCAAAGGCAGCGGTTGCGAGCTGGAACGCCAATGGGCTATTGTGCTATCGGCGTCAGCGGCGTCTACGCAAGCTGCGCGTGCTCTCCGAGCAACTGCGCCGCGGGGCCGTTGTGGTCATCCAGGAGGTGCACGGCTCCGAAGTGAAACTCAAACAATGGCTGGCTGCGCAGCCCTTTGAGTATGACTTCCGCGCTTCGTTCTTGTCGGCGCGTGCCGGCAGGGTGGCCACGCTCTGGCCGCGATGCCTGCACGCCGGGCAGCCCATCCAGGCGCGCCATATCCTGCTCGCCCGCGGCCGTGCCATGCTGCACGATTTCTGCCACCAGGACTCGCACTTCCAGGTCCGACTGCTCAACGTGCACAACTATGAGCTGCCGGAGCGGGCCCGGCAGGACATCGGCCGCTGCTGGCGCCAGGCCGTGGAGTGGGCGGCCCAGGATCACCAGCACCGGCTATTCATCGCAGTGGGTGACTTCAATATCGGCGAAATGGTCCCACAGAGTTATGAACATCCGAACCCTCGTCATGCCACACTGCGACCGCGAGTGGGCCACCATGCCCATGCGTCCTCGTGGCAACCTTTGTTTGACTTGATGTTGGAAGTTGCCATGGATACCCCGACCCACTTCGATCGCCAGCATTATTCCGCGAACCCCCTGGACAGAATCTTCCTCAGCCCCCCCACGAGCGACCTCGCGCAGCTCGACATGCAGGCGCAGGTTCTTCAAGATGTAGCAGGGATGTCAGACTCTCGGTTGAGTGATCATGCGGTGGTGCGTCTGAGTCTGGGGTTCCAGACGGGGCTGCCGAATGCGGATCGCTTTCTCCCTGCTTTCATCTTTAAGAGCCCCCTCTTTGGCGCCAAGCTCGGCCAGCTCTTGGAGTTGTCGCACTTAGACCACCTGCCTGTGGTACAGCGCTGGCAGTGCCACAAGCCAGCAACTCATGCGGCTCGCCGCGCAGTTCGTCCGTGACCATTCGCAGCGGCTCCCTGGAGACGACCCCTCGCCGCTGGCAAAGCAGGGGCGCCTGGTGACGCTCCGGGCCATTGCCCAGGCTTGCTGGCGACAGGACGCCCGGGTGGCTTGCCTCCTGCGGAACTCCACCGACCTGGGCGCCTTGCCCATCGACGTGGTGGACGGCACAGTTGTCCTCTCCGACCCGCAGGAATTCGCCCGCGTTGCCCGGGTCGCCAACGAGACGGAGCAGGTGCGCATTCGCGAAGCCGCCGCACGTCGAGCTCGCGAAGCGTGGGCCGCGAATCAGCCTCTGGCTGCCGAGGGGCTTCGACGAGCCGAGCGCGTTGCTGTGCGGCGCGCCCTAGCCTGGGCCCCCTTTCGACGCAGGGTCGTCCTTGCGGGCATTCGCATTGACGACGCGTCGGCCGGTGACCAGGTCGCTTCCGATTCCCAGACCATGCTCGACGCCATCAGGGGTCATTGGGGCCCGATCTTCATGAAACCGTCCGCGCCCGAGGAGGAGATTGCTGCCTACATCAACCAGCACATGCCTGCCAGCGACGTCTTGGATTTAGCGGTGCCCTCCGAAGCCGAGGTGGAAGCCGCGTTGAGGACAGGGCGTCGATCGCAGCCAGGACCAGATGGCTTCACTTACGACGCGTGGCTCCAGCACCCGGCGTCACTTCGAGTCTCTCAATGGACCTTCAAGCGCACTTGCATTCGGGCGGCGACGTCCCCTATCACCTCAACGACGCGGACATGGCCTGCATCCCCAAGGGAGAGCTCGCGGAAGACGCCATCGCAGTGCACCGCACACCTGACGCCCTGCGTACCCTCATGCTCAAGAACACTGACATTAAGGCTCTCGCCAGCGCGATGGCCTTCAAGCTCCGCGGCCCGGTGCAGGAGCGGGCGCACGAGTCGCAAAAGGCGTTCGTCCACGGGAGGAATTTTTGCAGCCACGTGGTGGCCTTGGACGCGGAAGCACGGCGCGCGGGCATCCTGCCGCGGGCGGAGGAGCGGATGCCGACCTTCACGAGCTACGAGTTCGCCGCCGCCTTCCCGAGCTTGTCCCGGGCTTGGCTCACGTGTGCACTACGGCGGTTTGGTCCCCCGATTGGGTACGTTTGGATGTTCAGCGCCTTGTACTTACAACCGATGACGTGGATCCGCTTGGCGGGGCGCCGACTTCGATTTCTCCTTGTCCTGGCTGGCGTTGCCCAGGGATGCCCAGCTTCTGGAGTGGCGCGGGCGGTGGCCATGGACCCCATCCTGCGATCGCTCTGTGCGGCTTTCCCGTCGAAGGACGTCGGCTCCGTCGGCGGCTGCGCAGATGACGTGGGTATCGTCAGCTACGACATCAGTGCTCTGAGCCCCCTGTCTGCACCTTTCCGCGCCGCGCGACGCCTCGCCGGCTTGGCACTCCAGGCCGCCAAGTGTAATTGTGCCGTTGTTTGTACTCCCGACGCCTTCAGTCGTTGGTCGGCTCTCGGAGAAACTGCTTTTGCTAGGTGAGGAATGGGGGCTGTTCAAGATTGCCTCGTGCGCTCGCTACTTAGGTCTGTTCGTGGGGCCGGGCGCCGATCGAGCGCGGCAGTGGCACGGCCCACGGCAGAAGTGGTGGAACCGCACCCATCAGATTCCAACGACCAACGCTCCGCCCGACAGCGCGGTCCGCTTGTATGCGTCCCACGCGGTGTCGACTCTATCATATGTCGCCCAATTCGCGCCTTTGCCGCGCATGGCTCGCTCGGAATTCTTAGCCCTTCACTCGCTCCTCAAACTCCCCCCTAGCTCGCTCTCACGCTCTGAGCTTTTAAATTTGGCCGCGTGGTTCCCAGCAGGCGCCATTCCCTCCCTGGAGATCATGACCACCGCTGCGCGCATGCGCATGGCTCTGCATACTCTCCCGGATTGGAGGCTGGCCCTGGAACGTCTGCGGAGCGCGGCGGAAGATCATGTTTTCCACATGGATTTCAGGAAGGGAGAGTGGTCGCCGCGTTTTTTGGGAGGACCCGACGGCCTTTGCCCAGCACCTGGCTGCGGCGGCGGAAGGGAGTGAGGACTTGCCGCCATTTCGCGCGCAGGATCTTCAGGCTGCGCGGCAAGCAGCGCGGGATGAGCGCCAGCAGGCATCGGTGGCTCGCAGGAAGCCCCACATCCAGCGTGCCATCGCGCGCACCCTTCTCCACGCTTCTTTCCCGGTCCGCCTCCACCTCCTCCTCCACCGCCGCTTCCGCGCATGGCACGGCGGAGCGGCGCCCAGGACGGTGGCCGAGATGAGGGAGGTTTGGGGCGAGTTTCGGGAGGAACTGATTCAAGTGCGACCGTCCTGGCGCTGGGCTTTCCTCAAAACGGCGTGCGGCGGCTGGACGACACGGGGGCGTATGCACGTCCTTAGTGGTCGGCCCTGTCGATTCGGATGCCCCGCCGCGCACGCCGTTGACGACTTCCGCCACTACTTCACGTGCCCCTGTCTCACAGGTCTCCTCTTTCCTCCCTCGACCCCGACCCCTGCCGACCCGATCCAACGGTGGGCCCTTGGCACCTTCTACCCTCCGTCTGGCCCGCTCGCTCGTCGCTCCGCCATTCGACGAGTCGTGTTGGTTTTCCACCTTTATAACAAGGTCAAGGAGGGCGAAGAGCGCCCGTCCGCTGCCGCGGTGGATCGTGCGCTACAGGCTGCGATCTTCGCGTGCCAAGAGTGAGACGTCAGTGCCAAACCTGTTCACTCAATGTTTGCCCCTCCTCGCCCCCTCCTCCGTTCGCTTCCCCTCTCCTCTCCTCCTCTTCCTCGGTGCAAGCAGCAGCAACTGCATGTCAATATTATGATGTTCCATCTTGCTGTCATTTCTGGGTAGTTACAAGTTCCCGCAGGGTGCTGCCCCTATGTCCGAACGTTTATCGGTCAAAACAGCATGTCACTATTATGTTCGTGTCCGCCAGCCGCTCTTGCAGGACACAGGTCCTCGATAGCGCTCGGCACTTTCCATATTATCTGGTGGTCGGCTGCCCTCGCAGCCCGTCCCCTCTCCATGTCCGGAGGCTGGTCTCTATGACCGCTTTTGGCTGTCGAGGTTCTCCAGCCGTCGTGGTCGACGAACCGGCGCGCCGCAGCGTACTGGCCCTCCTGCTCTTCCTCCTCGTCCTCCCTCTTTTGTTTCCTGTCCTGTCTGCCCAGCCCTCGCTCGGTTGGGCCTTCGCTTTGAACAGAGCAGTCGTTGCTCGCGCCTTCTGGAGCTCTCCCCGTTGCTCTCCTGTAGCACCAGGCATTTCCTCTCTCTCTCTCTCCTCTCCTCCCCCCGCGCCCAGTCCCGCCCTGTGCAGACCGAAAGGACGCCTTGCCGTCCAGCGGTGCGCCGCCACGCGCAGACCCAAGTGAAGCGTCGCCCCACCGCGCGCTGGAAAACGTGCAATCGTACATATGTGGTTGGGATATCGGGGGGCCAGCGGAGTGGCGCCACTCAAAATTCGCCAGCCCAACGGGCCAGAGGCGTGCAAAGATCTCCGGCAACTGGTCAACAATAGTTCTAGTTCGCGCGCGCGGAGCGGCCCCTGGGGGGCCCCAGGACGACAAGTACCCCGGCCAGAGCGCTTCAAGGGAGGGCCATTTTTCGACACCCCTCACGAGGATCGTGGCCTCTGAGGGAGGAGCCGCAATCGACTACTCCCCCTCCCGCCCCAAGATGCCCCCAAGAGCCCCTCAAGAGGCCCTGGGGGCCCCCAAGACGCCGCCAAGGAGCCCCAAGAGACTCCCAAGAGGTCCCCAAGAGGCCCCCAAGAGGCCCCCAAGAGGCCCTAAAGAGGGCTCCAGGGCCGGCGGAATGAGCGAAGCGATTATATAACTAGTTGCCCGGCATTATCATGAAAATTGTGGTCTGTGTTTGGAGAACGACGAGGTATTCGACGGGGATGGGAGCAGGACATCGACCAAGTGCATGATGACCTGAAAACGCCTGACAAGTTCGTCCCCGAGGCGATGGAGAAGGATGAGGAGCGTCCGCAGTAAGAAGAAGTAGGAGGGGAGGAAGTACCGTCGCGTAGCACACGGCGTGCTTGCTCGATTTTTGTACGTGTGTATCGCGTTGCAGTGTGAGTTGAGATGGTGGCTGCTGGGGGAGCGTTGTATGCAGTGCATGTGCCCCCCTCTCTTTCTCGTTGTTTTTCTTTTGTTTGTTCTTTCTCTCTCTCTCTCTCTCTCTCTCTTTCTATCCCTTTTTCTGCACATGCATAGGCTAGTAGCCTTCGGATCTGGGCTCCCATCGCTGAGAGGACGAAGGGGGAGCGCGCACGGGGGTGTGGGACCTCTTTGGTAGAACGCCTGCTCTCGGGGAGGCACGTGGCTTGACTTCAGAGCCACATCATCGCGACGTAACCGACACGGCACCCGAGCATCCCAGAGGGTGTCCATCCGCGGTCCTGTGGGGGCCGGCCCGCGCCCCCCGTGGCGGGGCCTCGCAGAGAGTTGTGTGTGCTCAGGGGATCGCAGCGAGCAGCTGGCGTGCTGCTGGGGCCTCCCGGGGGCAGCCTCGGCCTGTTCCGAGCAGAAGTTGGCAGCAGAGAGCCGCGGAGGGCAGCGCTCGCACTCGGGTTTCCTCTGGTTCGAAGATGTTCACGCCCAGGCCCGCTCGCGCACAGACACCCACAGAGGAGGAGGGAGGGAATCGGGGTGCGCAGATGGGGACCTCCGCGTCGAACAACTTAGGATAAAACCACAACACTGCGGTCGCGGGATTCGCTGCGCTTGTCCCCGCAGGGGTCTCGATGTTGACAGTGTCCCATTACGTACGCATGCTGCCCAACCGTCTCAAGGGCTGGGCCAGCCGCGAATTCAGCGGCGCCAGTTTCGAGAAGAAGTCCGCGATGGAGGAGGAGGAGGAGGAGGAGGAGGAGGAGGAGGAGGAGGAGGAGGAGGAGCAGGAGGAGGAGGAGGAGGAGGAGGAGGAGGAGGAGGAGGAGGAGAAGGAGGAGGAGGAGGAGGAGGAGGGCGCTCCTCCTCCTCCTCCTCCTCCGAGAAGAGCGGGGCATCCGCCCGAGAGCGCCCGATGACGGAGCGCCGACCTCGCGGAGAGCAGGGCGGCCGGGGCGAGCCTCCCGATGCCGGCGCGGCGCGGGAGGGTTCCCAATGGAGTCCGGGGGTGCCGCCCGGTCTGTCTCGGCGTGCCGGCCAGGCGAAGCGCCCCGCGGCGGCAGGAGGACGTGGGGCCCCATATGCCAGGATCGACCAGGCGTAAGAGTGACTTTTCGCCGGAGTGACCTTCGGTGCGGGCACAGATGGGTCCCCAGATGGCTGAAAGCGAAGCAGGAGCAACGGCTTGCGCGCCCAGGTTTGGCCCCCACGCGGCCCTGAAAAAGCCGCGCACCAAAGGTCACTCTTACCCAGGGTCACTCTTACGTGTAGCCGACAGGAGAGAAAGAAACACTTTTGTTGATCCGCGGGTCGAGAGCGAGCCTCTTCCGGTCGAAGCGGGCCGCGCACGAAGAGAGAGGGAAAGAAACACACAGACACAATGAATCGTCGATTCCCCAGAAAATATTGGAAAATATGGGAAGTGGGGGAAAGACAAAGACCCAGAAGATATGGGAAAATGTGGGGGATATCTCTATTCGTGTGTATTTCTTTGTGTGTCTCAGGGCCCCTTCACTATGGTACCCTCGAGGATGCGGCTCGTCAGTGGCGGGTGCAGCGCTGCTTCTGAGCCCCGGGGGCCACACGCGTTAAGAGATCGCTTGGTTCTCCAGATGCCTGCGGCAAGGCCCTCCGACGTGCCAGCGCAACTGCGCAGCAGGGGGGAGCTCGAGTTCGAGACCCGTTCCGGGTCCTCGCTTCGTCTGAGCTGGTGCGGGTCTTGAACGCCCCCTTCTTGTCCGCAGCCTCGTTCCCACGTTTCCTCTGTCGCCCTCGTTCTCCGTTGTGGAGTCGCACTGGAAACTGATGTGGGGCCGTCTTTGAGCCTTCCTGGACCGTCCGGGAGGCCTCTCCATTAGAATTGGGGCCGTTTGGGGGCTCTTTGGGTGCAGTCTTGGACCAGATTGGGATATGTTTAAGGCTTACCCTTGGCGGCCTGAAGCCGAGATGCAACGGAAGCAAAAACATGCATGCCCCTGACATCTTTCAAAGTATGTTACTTGCAAGCGCCTCGCTGGAGGCCTCTTCGGATGTCTCATCGAGGCATATTGGGAGGATCTTGAAGCCTGCGGGAGCTCGCCGCGGCGTCTTTGGATGGTCGTGCGGCCTCTTGCAACCTTATCTTGAGGCCGAACAGTTCGCTCTTGTGGCTGTTTTGGAGCGCTCTTGGGCTGTCTTCGGAGCCTCTGGGCGCTCTCTGAAACCTTGCCGACGCGATCTCAAGCCGAAAAGGTATTCATGTTCACCCAGTGTTTCGACGCGCTTCGCCTCTGCAGGAAGCCTACTTGGGCGTCTCCTGGAGGCCTCTTGGGGCTGCACGGAGCATCTTACCAGGATATTGGAGCTTGGTGAGGCTCGTTGGGTGGTCTTTGGATTTTCCATGCCATTCGCCTCTGAGTGCCTCTTTGGGCGCTTCTTGGAGGCTTCTCGGGGCCTCTTGGGGCATCTGGTGATTCATCTTGTAGCCTTTGGGATCCCGATGGGCTGTCTTTGGATTATCTCGGAGGGTATTGCAACCTTCTCGAAGCAGCCTTTGACTCTCTGGAAACCTCCGGAACGCAAAACCAGGAGAGATGCTTTCGTGAGGATATGCGCTGGAAAGGGGGCGGCATAAGAAGAAGCACGGGAACGTCACAGAGGCTCCAGAGGCGAGGACAGCCAGACAGCAGAGGAGCATTATTACACGCCCCGACGTGCCGCAGGCGCGGCGGAAGACGAGTGGTTAAAAAAATGAAACATGTGCCTCGCGGCCGGGTGGCCCCCACAGGAGTGGTGGGCGGACACATTTAGTGCGATTTTCCACTACCACCTCTCTTGAAACTACGGCCGAAGCCAGCACCATTAGCACAAGTGCGGCGCACTGATATTGCGCGCGATTTCTGCGAGTAATACCGCACCTGCGATTGTGATTGCTACGGCCGCTGCTGATAGCATTACCCGACCAACCAGATTTCAGGACGGACAGAGACGGGGAGGTGTTAGAGGACAAACAGGAGAAGAAGGAATAGATTTCAGGGTGGAGGAGGAGGAGGAGGAGAAGGTATAGGAAGATCAGGAGGAGGAGCAGGAGAAGGAGAAGGAGGAGGAGGACCAGTGTAAACCCAAGACCCGTCAAAGATGTTGCAATAAACTCTCCCTCCGAGCTTCCTGTTCACAGGTCCCTACAAGCGTTTATTTCCATTGGGGGAAGTGCCCCGTTGGAGGACAAGCGTCTGGAAATCCTGAGCCGTGCCATAACACCATTATTGGGACTTCGACGCCGCGAATTAACATGAATGTTGCGCCCTGACGATCATGAATCGCGCCAGAACACCACTCGTGGCACTTCAGTACCGCGAGTCAACGTGACTGCTGCGCCTTGACAGTACTACATCGTGCCAAAACACAATCTTGAGGACGTCAACCATGAGAATAGATGAAACGGCTGTAAACTCCTAGCACGAATGCGCGTGGGGCAAAGGCGAGAGCTACATGTTGAACATGAGCCGCCATCCACCCGTGAAACGCTTGCGATGTTTTCAGACGAATGTGCTCGGCGCTAGGCCCCGGCCCACATTTTGAAAACAGCCCGCCCTCCATCCGTGAAACTCTTGCAAATTATTTGAGACGCACGTGCGCGGCTCTAGGGCGAGACTCACATTTTAGAAACGGCCGACCCTCAATCCGTGAAGGTGTTGCAACGTGTAGGCTGAAGGATCTATATCACGCAAAATGCCAGGCCCGCCCTACCGACACGTACAAGAGTACGACAGGGAGAAATTGCGTAGAAGGAGAAGGGATGAGGGAGGAGAAGGCGGAGAAGCAGGAGAAGGAGGAAGAAGGAGAAGGAGGAAAAAAGCGAAGGAGGAGAAAGAGGATAGGGAGAAGGAGGAGGAGGAGGAGGAGGAGGAGGAGGAGGAGGAGGAGGAGGGAGCCTGACTCCCCCTCTGGACTCGAGTATTGCGGAAGCCCCTCCCCCTCCGTTCGGCGGCCCCGCTTGGAGGACTTGCCTGGCCTCGGGCAGTTCTACTGCATTGCGTGTTCGAGGTTCTTCCAAACCGCGGAGGCGCGGCTGTCGTCCACGCAAGCAGGGGCGGAGGGAAGCAGTCGAGCATGGTGGTTCCCCTTTCCGTTGCTTCCTCTTCCGAATCCTCCCCTCCTCAGCTTCAGAATTCCCGTTCATCCTCATCCTCCGAATCCTCCCCCTCCCCTTTCTTCCTCATCGTCCCCTCCCCTATATCCTCCTCGACTTCGGCGCCTCCCCAGACAGCTTACGCAAGGGGGCGGCTCCGAAACTGGTACTTGCGGAGACCCCGACTAGGCGCAGGGAGCGATAGAGACTGGAAGGGCCGTGAGGCTTGGTTGGAGGGGGCGTGAGGGCTTGCCAGAAGGGACACGGGGAAAAGGGAAGCAGGTGTACAACTTGCGTTCACGCTTGTGCGCGTGGCCCACACGAACATGCCTGCACACCCGCCGATATGGCTCGTCCAGACATGAGTGTGCTCCGAGCTCGTGTGGTGCCGCAGCAACATCCAAACAGGGCGCGGCATACACGGACGCACGCCGAGAGCAGATAGCATGGCAGCTGCTGTCGATAATTGAAAGAGAGAGAGAGAGAGAGAGAGAGAAAAAAAAAAAAAAAAAAAAAAAAAAAAAAAAAAAAAAAAAAAAAAGAGAGAGAGAGAGAGAGAGAGATGCGAGAGAGAGAGAGGGGAGGAGGAGGAGGAGGAGGAGGAGGAGGAGGAGGAGGAGGAGGAGAAAGGGAGGAGGAGGGCAAGGGAGATATAGAGAGAGAGTGTGAGAGAGAGGGGCGGACACCCATCTTCCCTCCCATCCTGGTGCATCCAGGTGCTAGCAGTGCACGTCAAGTCCAAGCTGCACAAGCGGCGCCTGCAGAAGGCCAGCCCCGACTCTGTGCGGGAGGAGACGGAGGAAGCGGATGGGGAGGTGGGGAGTGAAGGGGGAGGGGCGAGCAGGAAGGGGGAGGGTGATGCGAAGGGACAGGGTGAAGGGGTAGGGGGGAATGCGGGGGGGGGGAGGAGGAGGAGGAGGAGGAGGAGGAGGAGGAGGAGGAGGAGGAGGAGGAGGAGGAGGAGGAGGATCGTGGGCGGCGTCACGCGGAGTGAGGGCAACAGTGTACGGCGCGTCACGGTACAAAGATCGTCGGCTTGTGTCGCGCGGCCCGCCTACAATCGTCTGAAGCGGGTGCAGAAGACGTGCCGCGCACAAAGCCGACCGCCACAATCTTCGTTCCGTTGGGGGCGAGAGCAAAATCTCGCGTTTCGCAGGTGGCCCCGTTTCTGCGAGCCTGGGCTCCAAAAACATGCGCCGCGCACAAGCGGGAGCACAACCTTCAAGAAACGAAATTCAGCGCGAAGGCGAGATCCAAATTCTTGGCGCTTCCAGTATCCCCACCAACCCATACAGAAACGATGCCCAAACGAGTTCCCATGATGGCAGAACTTACCTTTCGAAAGGGGAGAAGGAGGAGGAGGAGGAGGAGGAAAGAGGTGAAAGCAGAGAAAGAGGGGGAGGGAGAAGAAGGAGAAGGAGAAATAAGCAGAGGAGACGAGGGAGGAGGAGGAGGAGCAGCAGGAGGAGAAGGAGGAGGAGGAGGAGGGGGAGGAGGCGGAGGAGGAGGAGGAGGAGGAGAAGGAGGAGGAGGAGGAGGAGGGGGGAGCAGTGGCGAGTAAAAGGAGTAGGAAAATATCTGAACACTTTTTCATGCAACTTCAGGTAAACTGCAGGTGGGAGGAGAACGGAAAAGAGGAAGAGGAGGAGGAGGAGGAGGACGAGAAGGTAAGAGGAGTAGGAGGAAGAAGAGGAAGAGGAAGAGGATGGGGGAGGAAGAAGGCGACCACGACGGTAGGAATCAGCCATAAAGGCGTCCGTGGACCTTTCGCTCTGGGAGCCTCTTGGGGGCCTCTTGGAGCCACGTTGGGGTCCTCTTGAGCTTCTGGAGCCCCCTGGGGGGCCCTCCTGGGGCCATCTTGGAGGACGTCCATCACTGGGTGGCCTTACGTAATTAGCACCCCCCAGTCCGAACACTACTGGGACATGGGACATTATTGGGCGATGTTGCGGCCATGTTGGTCCCCTCTTGGCCCATATTGGCGCCCTCGTGGGGGCGATTTTGAAGTTGTCCTGGGGCTTCACAAGCCCGCTGGAAGTGACACGGCGAGAAAGCAACAATCATCGAAACATTGATGTTTCAGTGATGTTCGCCTCTCGAGGGCGTCCATGGAAGGCTCCGGGGACACTTGGAGCCGTCTTGGGGCTTGCTGGATGTATGCTGGATGCTATATTGACCCATCTTGTGCTATGTAGTGCCATCTTGGAGCCCCTCTTAGAGTAGAGCCTTCCGGGCCCCAAAAGCCTCACAAGGACGTCCCTGAGAATCCAAACCCGTTCAAGAACCTAAAGGTTTCCGATGCCCCCCAGTTGAATTCCGAAACATCGCCACTTGGGGCCCTCTTGGAGCGCTCGTGGCGAGCTGTTGGCGGTACGTTTTCGGTCGGGGCAGTTTGGGAGCTTTTGTGGGCCATTCGAGGGGATCTGTTGGGCGATCTTGGAGCCAGACTGAGCCCACAGAAGCCCAGTGGAAGCGAAGAAGTGAGAAAGCAGATACAATGTTGGCCCCAGAAAATCGGTGTGCTGTTGTCTCTATCTCTCTGTCTCTCTGTCTCTCTCTCTCTCTCTCTCTCTCGCTCACAACAGAACACTGCTCAATGATTGGGGACTCTTAGGGGGTATTATTAATAAAAGGTTCCGTGCACGGTTGGAATCTGCCTTGAGGCGGACTTGCGGCATGCTGGAGCGATGTTTCAAGCCATCCGGAGCTATCTTGTGCCATATTGCAGGCCGTGTCGGACTGCCTGAGGCCTTGGACGCTCCAGCCCCGCGTGAGACGCCGACCCCGACCCCAGGGCGAGGGACGTGTATGATCTTAGCTGCCTCGATACGCACGTTTTGGTACGCAGCACGTGCCGTGCTCAAGACGTCCGTGCCAATACGTTGCGTGTTGGCTCAACGTATTTGCCCACGTTTTGGCGAAATCATCGCGTCAGACCCACGTCTGCAGGGTACGTGTTGGGCTCCGTATCAATACGCTACGTGTTGCGTGCTGCGTATCGGGGCGGCTAAGTGTATGATATGACTGGCGTCGGGGTCCCCGGGCCCGGGGCCAGCACACTTCTCCAAAACTCACCATCCCCACCAACGGCGTCAAGCTTTGGCCCCGGGGTCCGGAGGGCTCTCAGCCCCTCAAGGGGCGTCCTCGGCGGCCTCCGAGGACGCCCAGAGGCCGCCAAGCTGGCCTTTAAGTGGCGTCAAGAAGACACCAGAAGGCTTCAAGATGCCCCGCATGGCTTCCAGACAACCACAGATAGGTTCAAGACTGCCCAAGAGGCCTCCATTAGCGCTTCCTAGAGGGCCCCGACAGGCAAAATCTATGATTTTCTGTAGGTGTTCCATGTTTGGTGGGTTCTCGACTTTTCGAGCATCCGACGCTCCAAGACGTCCCAAGAGGCCCCCGAGATCGCCCCAAGACGGCCCAAGAGGCCACCAAGAGGGCCCCAGTCTCATGCATACTCCAGAGATGTTGAATTCGCCATTGTGGCAAGGTGGGCAATTATCCTTCCGGAGCGCGGGGCATCCCGCAGATCTTCCCTGGGTTTCCTGCATGGCTTCGTCGGGCTAGTATCCATAAATTTGCTCTGGGTGATGTCCGGCGTCCAGCAGCCCGCGAAAACGCCTCATCATTTCCCCGAGATGCCCCAAGGTTGCCTGGAGAGGACGGCCGAGGAAGCCTCTAGCTTCCAAGACGCAAATCAGGAGGCCTCTAAGAGGCCTAGCGCGCATGACATGTTTCGGTCGGTCGGCAGTTGTTTCCAGACTGTGCGAAAGCTTCGATGACAATCTCGTGAGTGGAGATTGCTAGGGAGCCAGACCTGGGCACCCTCATGTCTCGTGCTTCTTCCTTCTCCCGTCTCCCCCCCCTCCGCTTCTAGGGCGGCTCCAGAGGATCGCAGTGTGCGCTGAGAGTCGGGGGTGGACAGACCTCATACCCTGACACGCCGATTCAGGAATTGGCCGTTTTCGGTTCGCGAGAGGGCGTCCCGGCCGTCATTCTTGCGGGTCCAGGTCCGTCGGTTTCGGTCCCAGGCCGTTTTCACTGAGGGGAGGTTTACGAAAGGGAGGTTTGTCCACCGCCGACCCTCCGCTTCCAGGGCGGCGCCAGAGGATCGCCGTGCGCGCTGGGAGGGCCAACACAAGATCTCCTCTCCGAGGAGATCGGCAGGCTGCCACCGGGCCCCACAACCGACCCTGACGGAGGGCGAGGGGGGGAAGTGAGAAGCAGAGGGCTTCTCGGAAGGCTCGGAAGCCCCCCGGCACTCTGAGAAGTTTTCTAAGCCCTCCCCGAAGACACCGAAAACTTCTCAGAAGCTCCGGGGGTTTCTGAGAAGCCCCGCTTCGCGGCCAGCGGCGCCCCTTGTTGAGAGACGGCCCCCCCCGTGGGGCCAGGCGCCGGCACGGGGGCCGGCCCTGCACGGGGGCTGCCCTCCGGCGGAGGCCGCGGCCCAAAATCGCCCCTGGAGGGTTTGTGCGAAGGGCTTAGGCGACCTGTCCTCCTCCTCTCGCCTCCTCCCCCTCCTCCCCTTCCTCCCCTTCTCCTCCTCCTCCTCCTCCTCCTCCTCCTCTCCTCCTCCTCCTTCCTCCTCCTCCTCCCTCCTCCTCCTCCTGAGAAGGCCTTCTCCTTCACGTTTCCCCCCCTCGCTCGCCGCCGAAAGACGCCGAGGCGAGCCCAGCCGTGGCGACCAAGCGCCCCCCCCCCCCCAAAGGTTCCAGAAAGACCCGACTTGCGTTTTCCTCCTCGTCCTGCTCCTCCTCATCCTCCTCCTCCTCCCCCTTCCTCCGTAGCCATTTTGGCTCAAGCCTTCTTGGTTCAAGTAAAACATGTCCCAAGGCAGTTGGCCGTTCAGCTCTGTTCTTTTCCATAACTCACAGGCCCGCCTCGGCTGCCCAGCCTGCGGAGCCGCTCGATATCAGCTGAACGAAGTTCACCTTCGCACAATTACTAATTCAATTAATTCGATCGCATGTCTTTGGATTGGCTCTTCTCTCGCTTGGCATCGGACAGGTGGTACGTGGTTTTGCTTTGTTCAGCACTTCCGAATGGATACCTATTATGCCTCAGCATCTTCTCGAAGCAACTCTAAAAGCAGAAGCCAAGCCAGTGGACACCGACACGATCGACGCTGACACCCTGAAAGACGCAATGAGAGAGATAGAGACCGTGTCCGTGATCGACACTGCCGACGTGATAGAGATAGACGCCACCATTCCTCTTCTTCCGAAGGATCACGCCAGCCGGACAAAGGACATAGTGGACGCTCTAAAGGACCTCTCGGACGCGAAGCATCTGGAGCCCTTCAAGGATTTCACTCAGCTGCTACCCAAGAAGCCTGGCAACGAGCCGCCCTTGAAAAATTGGATGCAGCACCTACTTTCTCCTCTCAAGAGCAAGCACAGTGGCAAGCCCATCAAGCTCAGCGAGAACGAGATTGGCGCGAAACTCAGCAGCGCCCTCCTAATACAACAGCATCAACTGCCGCCGCAGCCAGCTCTGGACCAATGGCATCGGCTCCAGCACCAGCTCCAGCAGAAGAAGGCACAGCCACGCCTACAGAAGCACCTCGGCCACAGTCAAATCTCGCCCCAGATATTCAGCACGAGCTCAAGCAGACCATGGCATCGCAGCTCGCCGCCATCAATACAGCCGTCGGCAACACCGCCCCAGCCTCGCATACTCACTTTCTCGCTGCCCTACAGCGACATGAAGCAGCTACGAATCGCAGATTGGATGGCCAAGAGCAAGATCTCATGGGAATCAAGACCGC